TGACCAAACAGGAAATGAAATTCAAAAGTTCCCGGGGCTTTTCCTGTGTACCTGGCTAGTGCATCGAATTTCAAAGTGCTGTCCAGAGCGGTCACAATGGAGCACTCTGGGATAGCTCCCGGAGGCCAATACTGTTGATTTGCGTCCACACTACCCCAAATTCGACCCAGCAAAGTTGATTTTAGCACTACTCCCCTTGCCAGGGAGGAGTACAGAAGTCGATTTTAAGAGCCCTTTAGGTCGACGGAATGGGATTGGTTGTGTGGACACATTCATTTTTAAATCAATCTAACGCGGCTAAATTCGACCTAACCCTGTAGTGTAGACCAGGCCTTAGACTAGCCAATTCCTTGTTACTCTTTTCTTGATTCTCTCTTAATTCCTGTATTTCTGCCCTCATGCTATCTACTAATTTTTCTTTGTCTAATTCATGCTCTTGTACTTTTGTTCTTAAATTGTCAACCTCTGTGTTAAAAATGGTAGTTACCATTTGCAAACCCTGTAGAGCAGCTCTCTTTTTAGCTTTCCTGTTTGGAGTTTCTGAAAAGACTCTACTTTTCTCAGTCTTAATCCACTGATCCCATTGCTTACATAGCTGGTGATATGCACAAGGTCTGCTAAAAGCACCAGGCTACCAAACATTTCCACATTTTAAAACAAAATTCTCTAAACCTTTTCCCAACATTATTTCCTTAATAGTACTTGATTCTCTTTTATTTTCTATCATTTTAATATTATTATACACACTTACTCAGGCAATAATACATGAGTCCTAAGTTCCCTGAGTAACTCACGGACTATGGCAGAAAAGCAAGTTGTCACCCTGGTTCCTACATACTTTTGCTTGCAGGATTGTGTTTGTGGTCACAGTCCTTATGAAATGGATCCTTACGGGATCACTCATGACCACTCAGCTTGACCATTACCAGTCATAGGGGCATGACAGCTCCCTTACTCTCAGGCTTGATGATCCATGTCTGCCCAGTGCTTGACATACTGGAACCACTCCTGGGAGCTATGGCCATGACCACTCACAATCATCCAGATGGTCACAGCCGGTCCTGGATGCTTATAAGACATAACATGATTGACTGGTCCCTGGTTCTTACTACAGCTCTTGGGATTGTTCTTAATGAGATCACTACCACTATTATCTTGTGTCAAATTGCTTGTGTCAATCAATTGTTCTCTTTCCTTAGGCCTCTCCTGGCTGGATTACCAAATTTCTTATCCTAAAAACAGATTTTGGGTACCCCCAGGATAGTTCACCTATTGCCCCCTCCTGGATTCCCCAGGGTTCCCCGTAAAACAAAAACAAAACAAAAAACCAAACCCACAGCCCACCTGTTCACCAATCTGTTATCCTAAACTAGGGGTCTCCAGGGTGGCTCAGGAATTACGTTGGGGTTGCCAGAGGTTCCCCATTTTAGAAACTCCCTAGAACAGCTCAGACCTGTTATCCCCAGAGGACACAGATACAGCCTTCCAATAAATGACTGACACAAGCAGTGTTCTTTCCAAAACAAAGCACCTTTTTATTGGTGCAAATAATAATCCCTACTACAATAATCATCTAAAACACAAATCCCTTATTGATGTTCTAAAACCACAAATCCCTTATAACAATTAGGGACTGACTGGCTAAGCGGCAGTTCTGCAGAAAAGGACCTGGGGATTACATTGGACAAGAAGCTGGATATGAGTCAACAGTGTGCCCTTGTTGCCAAGAATGCTAATGGCATATCGGGCTGTATTAGTAGGAGCACTGCCAGCAGATCGAGGGAAGTGATTATTCCCCTCTATTCGGCACTGGTGAGGCCAGTGGTGAGCTGGAGCCGGTTTGCACCGGTTCGCGCGCACTGATTGTTAAATTTTGAAGCCGTTTTAGAACTGCTTGTTAACTGGCTTCCCTGCGAGGGGGCGCTGCGGCTTTGATGGGCTCTGGCCAGGAAGCGTGCAATTCCTCCTCCCGGCCGCCGGGGGGCGCTGCGCTGAGGGAGCCATGTGGGCTGCCTCCTGGCCCTGTTGCTGCTGCTGCTTCTTGGACCTCTGGCCCTGGGGCTCCTGCTGCTGCCTGGTGGGTCCCCTGCTGCTCTGCTGGGCCTGGGCTGCGTCCTGCTGCTCCGAGCTGCTGTCCCCTTGGGAGTAACCACCACGCTGCCCACAGCCAGCTCCTGCTACACCCCCCTGCCCACAGCCACCCCCTGCTGCACCCCCTGCCCGCAGCCAGCCCCTGCTGCACCCCCTGCCCGCAGCCAGCCCCTGCCCACAGCCAGCCCCCGCAGCCAGCCCCTGCCCGCAGCCAGCCCGTGCCTGCAGCCAGCCCTTGCTGCACCCCCTGCCCACAGCCAGCCCCTGCCTGCAGCCAGCCCCTGCTGCACCCCCTGTCCACAGCCACCCCCTGCACACAGCCAGCCCCTGCTGCACCCCCTGCCCACAGCCAGCCCCTGCTGCACCCCCGGCCCACAGCCAGCCCCTGCCCACAGTCAGCCCCTGCTGCACCTCCTCCCCACAGCCACCTAACCACTCGCTGCCCACTGACATGCTGACTTTTATACTGTTCTGTCAGAATTTTCTAGACACTTCTGCTAATATCTTCCTGACATATCTCTCTTGCACATGAAAACTACCAACATTCCAAACTGTCAGTTCTGTTTTTAGCATGCAACCATTGTTTACCTCAGTGTTGTGATCTACTGACCTTTCCCCTACTTTGGTTTTCTGCCAATTCGATTTTTAGTTCTATGTTACCTGTAGCTGCTAATGGTGGAGTGACTCTTGTTTATTAAAAATGGAAGGTAGGAATACAAAATGGATTCTGGGGAATTTCTCTGGTATCAATGGGGACATGTGCTGGAGACCAAAGAGGCCATGCTACAAACCTTCTTTCTGTGAGAGTAGGTATTGAGTGGTTCAATTTGATATATATTTTAGTTTTCTTATTTTAATAGTTTATTTAATTACCACAATAGTTAAAACCATTATTATCTGATGATTGTGAGGCAATGTGCCATAAATACAGATATTCCAAATCACAAACATCTGTCACACATTTTGATTGCTGGTGTCACACACAGGCAGGTTTGGAAGCTGAGAAGTAAAGTGACCCAACCAGCTCTCTCCAGAGTACACTGGACAGTTCCTGAGTTACATGTCTATCTAAAACACATGACCAGAGTGCAGGTTGGATAGCAACATACTACAGTAAGGTCCAGGCTATCATGATAGTGACATAAACGGATACCCTCATTGGCGTTGGGTTGACACAACCAGTTTAGGGGGGAAAAATCCCATGTCAGCCTTCAAAAATCACAGCTGGAAAATTAAAGGAAAATAGACAAGAAGAATGGTTTATGAGTCAACAGTGTAACACCGTTGCAAAAAAAGTGAACATCATTCTGGGATGTATTAGCAGGAGTGTTGTAAGCAAGACACGAGAAGTAATTCTTCTGCTCTACTCCGCACTGATTAGGCCTCAGGTGGAGTATTGTGTCCAGTTCTGGGTTCCACATTTCAGGAAAGATGTGGACAAATTGGAGAAAGCCCAGAGAAGAAAAAAAAAAAAAAAAAGATGAAAGGTCTAGAAAACATGACCTTTGAGGGAAGATTGAAAATTTTAGGTTTGTTTAGTCTGGAAAAGAGACGACTGAGAGGGGACATGATAACAGTTTTCAAGAACATAAAAGGTTGTTACAAGGAGGAGGGAGAAGAATTGTTCTTCTTAACCTCTGTGGGTAGAACAAAAAGCAATGGGCTTAAATTGTAGCAAGGGAGGTTTAGGTAGGACATTAGGAACACTTCCTAACTGTTAGGATGGTTAAGCACTGGAATAAATTGCCTAGGAAGGTTGTGGAATCTCCATCAGTGGAGATTGTTAAGAGCAGGCTAGACAAACACCTGTCAGGAATGGTCAAGATAATACTTAGTCCTGCCTTGAGTGCAGGGGACTGGACTAGATGACCTCTCGAGGTCCCTTCCAGTCCTATGATTCTACGTGTTTCATTTACCTTAAGTAAATGTCAGGCTTAAAAGGAGCTGAGAGGGAACTTTCATAACCATGGTAAAAACATAGACAAATTACCAAAATGGAAATATTATCCATTAACTATGGGGTGGAATTAATGTAACAGTTTCACTTTCAGAAACATTTTATAGATCTCCCTCTCGCTTTCCCTTTCCTTCTCCCTTTTCTTCATTTCATCCAGTTTTATACATCATTTTCTCTAGCACTAGTTTCCACCAGTTTATTTCTCTGAATCTCCCTAACTCTTCTCTAATCCATGTCACAGATCATTTCAATCCAGGTGCCAAGCTATCCCTGTTGAATTTATCCACTCCCCTATGGTGCCCCCTGAGCTTTTCCCTTCTCAGGATAGATTTGCTTTCGTTCTTCACCCTTGTTTTACTTCATTTTTTCCCTCTTGTTTTTTCTTTCATTTCTTCTCTCCCTTCTAGTTAAATCTGTCCTGTACCTGACCCTCCCCTCCCCACAGCCAAGTCATCTTCATTCCGATGACCCCACCCGCAACTCTGTCTTGCAGCAGCATGCCTTCCTGGTGCTGCAGGGAGGGAGCAGGGAGGCGATTCCAGGGGACACAGAGACGGGCCAGGGAACTGGGTAGCTGAGAGTCCTCCAAGCATCTTATAAACTAGGATGACTGTGGCTAGAGAAGCCCATAGTTTCATGGCTGTTCCGCCCCCCCTCCATGTTTCAGTGACACAGTCTGACCCAGGATTCCCAGAGTCCTCCTGGACCATAGAGGACAGTGACAAACAGGTGGGACAATCCCTTCCCAATAGCAATGAGATTAGCTTCTCCATTTTGATCACTCCCTGCTCTCTATGGTTTGGTAGTCCAGTGACCCTCCAGTGAGCCTGCAGGGTCATAGAGATTGCATGGTACAAAGTCTGTAGGAAGACAGGAGTTCTCCAGGGTTATGGAGACAAGGGTTTCTGATGCTAGAGAGTCTGATTACACAGTGTGATATTTTCCTCATGTCTTAGGGACAAAGTCTGATCCCTAACACCTGGAGCCAGGGGCGGATTCTACCCCCAGTGACAGAGGCAGGTGGAAAAGTGAAGATTGGGGCCTTGTTACCAGCATCAAAAAATGTCACCTGCCCCAGTTCACTGTCCAGACAAACCTGGATCCTCCTGGGGACATGGCTTAGGGGCAGGTGGGTCACAGGGGAGGTGAGAGCATGGCACTGATCCTCCCATGGCTCCACAGTCCAGATTCCCTCCTCAGGGCTAAAGCTGATCCGTCCCTTCCTCCTCACAGACTCTCTGGCCACCCAGTATCCTCCACTCCCCACCTCCACCTCCCAGCAATGTCTCTCAGAGGTGAATCCCTCCCAGCCCTGCACACAGGGATCAATGTAAAATCTCTCAGGTTTGTTGGGCAGATCCTGCTGTGTGTCTTCCCATCTCACACTTTTCTGATTCTTAGACAAGATGCACTGGGGATGAGCCATGTTTGGATCCAGAGTCACATTTGCTGGAAAGAGAGAGAATCAGAGTGTTAGGGGCAGGGACGATTTCTCACACTGTCCAGCATTCTGTTCTGGTTGGGACAGTCCTGGGTCCCTGTCTCTAGGGTGAACAGATCGCAAGAGTGAAATATCAGGACACATTGGGCGAGCGGGGTGGGGGGAGGGGAGAGGACGACAATGACAGACACAGGTGCACAGAGCCATGAGAGGGGGCCCTAGGAAGCTGCGAGAGGGGGCCCTAGGAAGCTGCGAGAGGGG